CGAACGACATAATGCCAAGCCCAAGAGCCGACGCCAGCTCCCTCATGGCCCTCTTCGCCAAATTCAACCTATCGACAAAAGATCTCGTAGCCCTCTCCGGGTCCCACTCCATCGGCAAGGCAAGGTGCTTCTCGGTGGTCTTCCGGCTCTACAACCAGTCGGGCTCGGGCCAGCCCGACCCGGCCATCGACCCACAGTTCCGGGAAGAACTCGACGAGCTCTGCCCGCAGGGTGGGGATGAGGAGGTCACGGGCAACCTGGACGGGACTCCTGAGAGATTTGACAATCGTTACTTTAGTGACCTGGTCGAGGGAAGGGGTTTCCTCAACTCGGACCAGACGCTTTTCACGTCTCGGGAGACGAGGGAGTACGTGAGGATGTTCAGCCGGGATCAAGGTGAGTTTTTCAGGGCATTTGTAGATGGGATGATTAAGCTAGGGGATTTGCAGTCCGGGCGGCCGGGTGAGATTAGGAGGGATTGCAGGGTGGTTAATGATGGGCCGTTGTTGCTGACCCAAGCCAAACGTTAGGGCTCGGTTTGTTTTCCTGACAGATATTATTGTAGTTGTACATGTCAAGCAGAGGTTTAAGCCTATAATGCGATAATAATTTTTCTGCAATATGATCATTTGCATGTCGAGATGATGACATTACTAACAAACAAGCCTTTCCCTCTGATGGCTTGTTAACCGGATTAGATGTGTTGAAAATTCTTGGTTCCACAGATTTTCAGGTCACAAACAGGTTTACTATAGTTATTTTCGAAGCCAAAAGTGTAATATTATAAAATGGCTCTGTGTTGTAAGGGGTCGAGCAAGGTGTTCAATTGTATGAATAAATAGGAACAAGCTACGAAATCAAAGCACATTAGATTGGACTCCAGAAATTAGCAAATACTTGAATGTATGTATTGAGTTGATGAACATCCAACATAACAAGTAGAACACCTCAAAATCTCTCACCACAAACAAAATAACAGAATTAATTGAAAATTTTTGCTAGAGTCAAAATCATATCTCAACTCCAAATAGTTATCCAGCAACTGACGTACAGAGCAAGAAAAAACACCACAAGCCTCTACTAGAAAGGACTTAAGAGTTTTTATGCAGTAACTGATGGTTTAGAGGCGGCTGCTGAGAGTCTGGACCTCTTCTTGGCCAGACTCTCGCTCCTCCTTTCTCTCTGTTCCTTCAAACGGGTGGCGAGAAGCTTCTGGTACTCCGCAGCTTCTGACTTGGCCTTGACAATCCTCTTCTTCTTGTCGGCAATTCTAGCTCTCTTCCTCTGTAGGGTCAATGGGGTCACTAGCCTCTGAATCTTGGGAGCTTTGCTGACCTTCTTACCTGTTTGTCGTTCATAAATACAAGATTCAGTAGTCTGCAGATACCAATACATTGTGGGATGCTTATATAATAATATAGAATACACTCTATTATCACAAGAGTGGAAGAGAGCAAGAGTCAGTTTATAAGATAAAGGTGTAAAGTAATACGTTTGACCCAACTTCTTTACATTATTGAAGTATTAGTACATTCAGCACAAAAAGGAGACGGGTTTCTTCACAAACTATAAGTTCCAAATATCAGATCCATCACCTATGAAATTATCATCATGCTAAAACTAACAAATTTACCAAGCAAAACTCACCAGATTTGGTGGTGAATGTCCGGCGGTATGTGTTGACATACTTCCTAACATCGTCGTCCTTGGAAAGGTTGAAAAGCTTGCGGATCTTTGAAGCCCTCTTGGGACCCCTCATCCTCGGCTTCTCGACATCAGTCAACCCAGGAAGATCATTCTCACCCTTCTTAACAATCACCAAATTCAAAACCGATAAATCAGGGCTAACAATGCACCCACGAACAGATTTCCTTCGGCGCTCTCCATTTCTCCTTCCATAACCACGGAAGCATGGAGTTCCTGTTTCAAAATTATAATAGTTCTAGTTCAGAGAATATACAGATAAAATTAAAAATAAAAAAGATCAGGAAAGGAATATATTGAATCAAGTTCAAGTGTCCTACACACCTCTGTGCAGCAAGAGTCTCACACGGCCAGGAGTCAGCACACCCTGCTTCATGGGGAAACCTTGCTTGTCACAGCCTCCCATGATCTTGAAAACATAGCCTTTGAATTCCTGACATATATCGATTTGATTGCAGCCACGTTACACAAATGCATCAGCACATATTAACTGGTGAAAAGTATTTACAGAACTCGACATGATTCCCTCGAAAGAAAAATTCATACCTCGCCCAATGCATCTCCACTAACCTCCTGAGAGATCCTCTTGTCCCAAAAGACTCGGCTGCAAAACAAGAAGCAGAAATTAAGTGATAAGCAAAGTGCTCAATACCTAGCTGAACTAGTGTATATCAGTAAATCACCACAAGGATGGGACAGGTAATCAACAAATGACAACCCAAAAAACTATGCAACCTAAACCAGATCTTGTGGCAGACAACAATGGACTAAACTGACTGATTACAACCTGCTTAAATGTAAGCTTCGGATGCAGGGAGCTTGTTGCATATCCAACCCACATTATCTTATACCAACATAAAAAGCATAACATGCAACAAATAAGGATCTATCGATTATGCATAACATACACTGCAAGTGATTTTAAAATCTAAAGCTTTTAGCATAATGATGTAAGAAAAAAGCAAAAAGATGGCATGAAGAAACATAGCAGATCAAAATGCAAAGTTAACCAACCACATTCAGTATAAATGAGCGTTCTTTTCTTTTAGAACACAAAATTGAAACCAAAAATCTAAGCTGATTACACAAGTATAAAATGAAGGTAAATTATTAGACAGCGTACATAATTTTGAAATCGAATAAGAATATACACTAATCCATACTAAATTGTACTTCTTCATACTCAATATATCAATAACAAAAATGCTGCTGAGAAAATGGGCCAAACAATCACTTCAACCAAAAAGGCAACGAACAACGACTACTCTTCGATAAGCATTTCAAACTACAATTGACTATGCACAGTAAACATAAAGCTCATAAGCAACTATATATA